GGCAACTCATGAGGGCCCCCATTACCATCTTGCTGGCCGACGGTCGTTGATGCTAATCGACGGCGATCGACATCACGTCGACGCTAATTGGCGCAAGCCGACGCCAATCGATGCCAAATCGGCGCTAGATCATTGATTACCAGACGCTGTTCGACGCCACCCGACACTAAAAACGGAATTGCACGGGTATACAAGGCTCCGACCATGCCTGCTCGCGGGGCCCAGAACCAACCAAACGGGGGCACAACGAAACGGGGGCACGGGCGCAGAGCTCAGCGCGGGACCTGGCGAACGCAGAACGAGAGGAAACGAAGGCGGGGGTCGGGTGGAACAGCCCTGGGGGTCAAGTTCTCGCGAGAGCACAGAAGCATGGAGCCGTGGCCGTAAGGGCCTTCTCGCTGGCCCCAAACCAGGGACGCCACCCCGCCTGGGCACCGCAGCAGGCCACCGCACACTGGACAACATGTTAGTGAACTCTGCCGCAAGGGCGATAGCAGGATTCTGCTGGCCGAACTCTGCTCGGCAAGCTGCGTGGCACAGTTGCTACGGCCCGTTCCCGCGGCGGTATTTCTGGAGCACTCCGATCCCCTCCGCGCGGGCTGCAAACATGTTCGACTGGACTTCCGAGCGGACCACCGGGCCCAACATCCGAAGCGAACGCACGGCAAGTGCAAGAGGAACCTCTCGCCCCCCGAGATCTGGCAGTGGACCTGGGCTGGGTCTCCGAGGAAAGGACAGCGGCGAGGACGCGCCCGCGCGGGCGACGGACGGCCTCGGCGAGAAGGCGGGGGGCATCCGAGGGTTTGGTTTCCGCCCGCTTGCTCCAACAAACAATTCATAGATTGTCGGCCAAGGAGCCTCGTGCCAGCCTGCCATGCGCTTTACTCAGCGATGGGCCGCCAACGCGCGCACGCGGCGAGTGGGTCTTGCCTCGAAAAGGCGGGGGCACAGCACGCGCGCAGGCTCGGCGAAACTCGCGGCTGACTGGGCCTTCGCATCCAGGCGGTCGGCGACCTCGGGCCCCACCCGAGCGCGCAACCTCGAGGCCCCCGTTGCGCGAAAGTCAGCAGCGCGGTCACCTCGCGACGAGGCGTGCTTTGCAGGCGCGAAGAAATCAACCGCGACCAAGCACCGATGCGCTCTAACGTACGTCATGGCCTCGATGCGGGTCCAAAGAACGAGCGACGGACGGCGACCTCGCGACTGGCTTCTACGGTCGGAGCCGCAAGTGATGTGGGAGAGCGGCGCCGGCAATCGCTGATTTACAACCGTGCACCTTCGCGCTGCGGTCGGCTATCTGGGAAGCGACTGCAATTGCAAGACTATCCGCCTTAGCTGGGGCGGGGGCGCCCGCCTGGAACGGCTCCTCCGACAACGCTGCCCCCCCCCCCCCCCCCCGCACACGCGCCCCACCCCGCCCCCGCCGACCCGAGGGCGAAGGGCGCAGCCGCAGACGGAGCCCCCTGGAAACGCCGCGGCGAAGATTTGGAGGCAACGCCGTCCACCGCGACACTGAGATGGGCAGCCTGGCAAGCGAACTGCACGGCCTGCCCGCGGCATCGACCAAGCAAAACCCCACCCTTCTCCTTTGGGACATCCGCGAAGGCAGCCTGCTCAACCGGGGAGGAAACACGGTGCTTCGACGCGAACAGCGCCACGGCCAAACCAGACGATGTCCGGCTCCTGGAGCCCCAAACATAAGTCCCTGACGTCCGCCCCAAACGGGAGTGGGCCGAAAGAGCTTGTAAATAACGAATGGCATGCTGCACCCAACTTGCATTCGCCGCGCGCCTCGCGCCCAAGGCCGCGCGCCTCGCCCTCTGCCCAGAGGCGTTCGCGCGAAAGAGCGCGCGCTTAGCGTTGGTCTTGGTGATCTTCCTGGAATGCAAACTGTCGAACGCGGCGCCCAGGCCGCCCTCCCCCCCGCGAGAAGCTCAGCTTGTCACCCGACGCATTTTCACGGGCCGCCTGAAATCCAGCGCTGAGCATCCTGTAAATCATATCTGCGGAAGCCTGCTGCGGTGGCATTTCGACCCCGTCGCGATCCCCCCGCGCGGCGGCTGGCGCGGAACTCCAGCGGGCACCCGCCCAAAACGAAAGAATCTGAAAGATGGGGCCTTGAGAGCGGGCCCGCTTTGCAGCGGGTCGCCCGCTTGCGCCGCAGAGTCGGCTCAGTTCGCTGGCGCGTGCATTCGCGGTGGTTGGACAAAAACAGCGACTTGCCAAATCGCTCTGCCCCGCTGCAAGGTCGACCCCATCGCCGGTCGCGCGCGGGCGCCATTGGGAAGCGCGAGCTCGGCACTGAGAAGGCCGGCCTCTCAAACGGCGCCGGGGGGGGGGGCAACGAGCGCCCTGGCGGCGAATTGCAAACAGACAGCCCCAGGCAGCCAAACCGATCGACCTCCGAGACGAGGTTACAGCGCAACGCTACCCCAAATGAAAAGCTCTGCCCGCGCGCCCGTCAGCCCTTCGCATCGACCGTAACCCCCAGCGCGGATAACTAGATGCTGAACCTTGCAGTGGCGCGCCGGCCCCATGATCCGAGTCGCCGCGCCGCCCCCCCATCCGACCGCCAGCCGCGTCGGCGCCAGGGCGCGTCGCTGAACCCCTCGCCCCTTTGCCGTCGAGGCCGAGCTGCGGGGCCGCGCGCTGCCCGAGCTCGCCGCCAACTGCTGCCGCCGCCACCTCGCCAGCCAGAAAGGCTCGCGGTCTTCGCGACGCGCCTTGGGCCCCGCGCCCCGCTCGGACAGCGCCACCTGCCGCGATTTCTTTGTCGTCGCCGCCAACGTGGATGCATGAGGTCCACCGTCAGGTTCCCCGACGCAAGCCCACCGTGCTCGCGCATCGCGAAGGCCCGGAAATCCACGCCAACGCCCGCGCACCCAGCCGGCAGACCAAGCGGCGCAAAGAGCAACGAGTCACGGCGGTGCAATCCAAGCCCGCCGATACGCGGGCCGAGCCACGCCCTGCACGTCGCGCGCAGGAAGAAGCACCGGAAGGAACGGAATGCGTCTCGCATCTCGCCCAGGGGGACTCCTCCATAAAATTTGATAAAAGCCGCGACGAACGCACTAGTGACCCTCTCTGCTGCGACGTACGCCTCCGACCCGACTGCGTGAAACCAGGACGCGACAATCGAACTGGCGCCTACGCGACCCCCCCAATTGCTCTGCCTGAGCAGCGCGTGGGCCAGCCCGGGCGACTGGCGACGCAACTTGCGCCGAGCGCGGCGGGCGCCCGCGCGCGGAAGATGAGGCCCGCGCCCGCGGTCGCCGGCCGCGGCCTACATCGGCGCCGCGATAAGGCGCAGCTGTCGCAGGAAGACTTGCATGCCTGAAACACACAAGCTAGCGCTTCTAACGCTGGTTCCGGCAGCAAGACAAAGCGCCGCGGAGGCGCGCGGTCTTTGCTGCACCGACCAGGAGTCCGCGCCCGACTGCGCGACTGGGAAGCACGCCGCAGGCGCTCGCACAAAAGGTGTCTTCAGCATGAAAAAAATCACGCGGGCGCGCTGGCAGCCATCTCGGGCGCGGAGCACCGGGCGCCCGCGCCGGCGGGCGCAACGCGCTGCGGCCGTCGACCGCCGCTACGCCGCAGCCCCGCCGTCGCGGCGCTGCTCCGCGCGATTTGGCATCGCGCACCTCGTCGCTGACGTCGCCGAGAAGCTGCGCGCCCGACGATTCGGGGCGCGACGCCAGCGCCGCCGGGATATTTGGCGCGCCAGGTTGCGAGCCAGCGCGGGGCCGCGCCGAACCTGGGGGGCGAAGCCCATGCCCTGGATGTCGCGCTCTAGCCCAGAGGGCGAAGCTGCTCGAGTCGCTCCGATGCCCTCCAGGCAGGAGCCGCAAGCGGGCGCAGGG